AGGCGCGGATTACTATCTGCGCTTTATTCGAACTGACGCTACATAATGTAAGGCGCGAATGGTCATCCATCTACTATTTAATCTAAAATCTAAAATTTAATCTATTTAATTGAAAAAAAGGTAAAAGTGAAATTGATAAAAGAAAAATAAAAACATTAAAAACTGAATTTATATTTTTAAAAAAAATATATTTAAATCTTGAGAAGGAAATGATTTTATATTAAGGTAAATTACATGGATGACCATTTATCTATAGGGTTGTGTCAATATAGTCATTATTTTGAAAATTTCACCAATATAATCACTTAACTATTTAATTGGTTTTAATATAGCTGTTAATATTTGATGGAAGTGCTGACATAGTAGTTAATAAGATTGGTATAGTTACATATTTAATCCTCAATAGTTACACATTCTATTAATGTATAGTCATAGTTTTAATTTAATTAAAAAATAAATCATTTAATCAGGAGGTGTCACATGTCAATAAGTTATTTTAACACATTTTAATAGTGACATGTGTCACACCTTATTAGAGAGTTTTTTAATTAAATTTAATATTTAATTCAATTAATTTTCCCACCAATTAAGTGGTGAGGTGTGACCCTGAAAGCTTGATGCATTTGGTTCAATTCCTCTGAACAATAAATGTTTACTCTCATTTTTCTCTTTAAATTGGCGGTGATATATGTCACCACCTAATTGATGAGAAAATTAATTAAATTAAATAACAAAATTAATTAAAAACTCTTCAATTAGATGGTTACACATGTCATTATTTAAATGTGTCAAAATAACCAATTGTATGACTTTCTTTTTGAATTAAATTAAAACTAAGACAATTTTTTTTGCTCGGCAATTATAATTTTTATTAATATAACTATAAAGACAATAGTCAATGAGAGTGTCTCGTTAAAAACCTCTCTAATTCTAAAAGGATGAAAAAAAATACATTCTCCCCGACAATATAAAAAGAGTCAACACCAAACAACAAAATCACCCAACAAAACACAACCCCAAGCTTACAACACAATCAAGCATTGGAACAACGTTCAAAACAAACACAATCAAAATCTGCTGAACGTGAAGGCACCCTGCAACAACCTGCTGCAATCAATATACCTTGCAACACAAACATAGATAACAGATTGCAACTAAAAACACCTGTAAAACCCATCAAAACCTATTCACCCATGCCAACAGAGCAAAAACAAAACCCCAAAAAACCACCCTAAACCACTAAAACATGAAGCAGAACCAAAGGTTAACTGCAAGTATTCAAATCAACCTCAACCAAACCTAAAGCAGCCACAAACCAGACCATGAATCGCCACAACATAAGACAACGAACAAAAAGAAAATTCTTCAGAACGTTCTCCCCACTTTCCACCACGCTTTGATTAATTCTGTCTACAAAGACCCGCATTTGCAAGAAGATCAGCCATTGCAATTTCGATCTTGAGACATGAACAATTTCAAAGTATCGAAGCAGCACAAATAAACCAAAAACAATTTTGCTTCTCCTCGCAATCGGACTTGAAAGCAGAATTCTAATAATTCATCTATTGTCCTAAGTTACAACCAAATCACCCGCCACCAAACTCTTGTTGACATGACCAATTTATTAACCACTCCCAGACAGTGTTTTTCTCGTTCCAGCAAGCATCTTGCAACTAATCTCCCATACAACGTCCTGCCAGCTTCCATTGCCAACAATTATTTCTACAACAACCAATTTCCTTTGAAGCATCCTGTACAAACGGGGAAAGACATATCTAATATCCTTAGAGCCACACTAACAATCCTCTCATAACATCACTGTTATCTCAGCTGAAGCCATTCATCCTCAACAAAACAAGGCGGTTCCTACTATTTTCCTGTCTGAACCATGTAAAATTCCTCCCGCTAAAGGCATACCAAAAGATCACACTCAGCAACGAACGTGTTGAAAGCTGCAATCTCAGTTTGACTAAAAGAGCAGCCAATTCTCTCACTATGGTTTCGAATGGCATTAAAGTCACAACCATGAATCAATTATTAATTAAATTTCCCCTCTCAACCATATTCTCATTCCATAGTGAGCCTACATGACAAGGAGCATAAGCATTCAACACTGAGCAATTCGAAAACTGTGAAGCATACCTCCCTAATAAAAGAAAGAATATGTCCTTTAAAAAACGACTCTTATCCCACACAGTCAGCAGAGCCCCAACATTACCCACAGCTTTCGAGAATCTAAAATCGACAACATCATCGCACCAAAACCTCGCTATATTCGATTCAGTCAAATCTCTTTTTTAGTTACTTGAATCAAACAATCACACTTATACATCCTAACAATCCTCCGCAATACAGAAATTATATTGGAGTCATTAAATTTTAATATTGCTTTAATTAAGGTTATTATCGTCATATGATATTTTATGTGTATTTTTCCTAGTAAGTTTGTATCTTTGGATAAGATAATAACACATGATATAATTTAATGAAAACTATATATATATATATATATATATATATATATATATATATATATATATATATATATGTGTGTGTGTGTGTGTGTGTGTGGATAGATTATGATGTAATTTGAACCTAAAATTCTAAAATTCTTAAGGAGAGTATAATATTTAATCATAAGATTATTCATTATTATTTTAATTTTAATAAAAATATTATTTAAGTTAAAGTATAATTAAAATTAATTTTATTTATCTATTTTATAAAAGTATATTAATTCTAATAAATTACAAAATGATATAATAATATATTTTGAACATTCCAGAAGTTTTAATGCCGTGTGTCAAGTCACTAGTGGGACCATCTTAAAGTATTGATTTGAATTACACAACAAGCTTAATGGTGCATGCAAGAACTATAAAAAATGATAGGCGGAGCGAGGATCACTCTAAATCTCATGTTTACAGATTTTTCTTCACAAATTTATCTTATAAATTAGAGTCACCGAAAAAATAAACACAATATCAACAATAAAAAATACAAATGACAGGAACAAAAGGAATCGAAAACGGTGGAGTTTATGCAGCAATCTGCATGATTGTCTTTTTTGCTCCGATCGTTCAGTCTCAGAGTACACAGATACCAGAGGACAAATCCAAGGTAAATGATTGGTTCAGTAGCGTTATCAAGCCTCTCAGTCAAAGGGCTGGCACTTTAGACCCAGAATTGGTTCAGGCCGAGGCTGAACCTAAAATCATAAAGGTTAAGCAAGGTGACGGTGGAGATTTCGCTACCATAATGAAAGCCATTGATAGCGTTCCAGCCGGGAACAGCAAACGCGTTATAATATCTATCGGACCCGGATCTTACCAAGAGAAAATCACGATCCCTCGAGACAAGCCTTACGTTACACTGGTGGGGGACCCCAAAAACATGCCCAATTTGACATTTGATGCCACCGCCAAGGACTATGGAACTGTAGACAGCGGCACTCTCCACCTTGTCTAATTACTTTGTGGGTGCTTATCTCAACATAATAGTAAGCTCCAGAATTTAACCAGCACATATGCTTATATTTTAACTCAAATTATAATTGATGTTTAACTTTATAGAGATAGTAAGAGAATATTTTGAGATATTTTAAATAAATAAATATCAAACTTTAGTACACATGAGATATTATGTATATGTATCCTTAGCATGTGGTTGCATGTATATGTTATCTAGGGTAGGCATTGAAATCTAAATTTCTTTAGATTCATTGTTTATTTTATTGATGATGTCTAATCTGAATTTTATTTGTATACGTCCATACAAAAATTTCTATTATTAATACATATGTACATACCCTAGAATATATTTCATGATGAACATGATGATCTATACGTTTATAATGGATTATTATTCTTTTCACCAATAGAAATAAAAAAAATTGAACATCGTTAAATCTCATCTTTTACACGTATTATACATGTTGATATCGTTTTATTTATTTTCTCCACTTATAAATTCTTAACAACATGTTCTTCCTTGAATTGAATACATTGTTAACTTTCAATAATTTGTTATTATACATAGAACAGTGCTCCGAAGCCTGATGGGAAAAGGGAAGGAGCACAAGCGGTTGCCTTGAGAGTATCCGGTGACAGATCGGCATTTTATGGCTGCAACATATTCGGTTTTCAGGATACAGTGTGCGATGACAGGGGGAACCACTTCTTCAAGGATTGCTATATTCGAGGCACCGTTGATTCATTTTTGGAAGTGGAAATCTTTATATCTGGTATACAGTTAGAAAACACATGAAATACGATATATATATATATATATATATATATATATAGATATGCCAGAATTTGATTGGAAAAGTGGGATGCAGGACACGGAAATATTTGTAGAAATAGAACCGAAACTTACAGTAATCACGGCACAAGCTAGAGAAAGTTCATCGGAGGACACCGGGTACTCCATTGTGCACGGAAAAATCACCGGAACGGCAAAGGGTTCATTTTTGGGGAGGGCATGGAAGAGCAGTCCGAGAGTTGTTTATGCTTATACTGAAATGACCGACGTTGTGAATCCTGCCGGCTGGTCTCATGACATGCAACCAGAAAGAGCCAAGTAAGTTGATGGTCACACACTAATCTTATTGATTAATTATGATAATGATAATTATTTTTTTGTAGAACTGTTTACTATGGAGAATACAAGTGCACTGGGTAGGCGCATCTTCCAGTGGGCGGGAGCCATTCACCAAGCAGCTAACCGAAAAGGAAGCCGAACCATTCTTGTCGCTTGACTACGTTGTTGCCACCAAATGGCTGCTCCCTCCTCCGATGATCTGATCAATCTATTGTTAGAGTATACCTAAAGACCAATCATATGATGATTGTAATAATACATTTATTTACCGATTTTATTGAATAAAGGCATTGCCACTATTATTATCAGTTATATGTCTGTGTTTAACAAAAACTGAAAGATAATAAAGTCCATATAATAACATTATTATTATTAAAAGTTTCATAGTCAAAATTATTATGGGCATGAACAATAATAATACGCTTAAGACTAACATGTTATTTAAGACTAACAGTTAAAAAAGGCCATAAAGAGGTGGCGCCTTGCTTTTTGGAGATCGAAAAAGATCTTGTTCGTGTCAGAGGAAGGAAGAGTAAGACTCCTTTGCACTATGTAAGTAAAGTTGCAAACCAGGACTTCTTTCTGGATAGGTTTCTAGAGGCTTGCCCTGATAGTATCCTGGATGTTACAACTCAAAATAGCACTGCTTTGCATATAGCCGTGGAAAACAGAAGGCTAGATGTTCTCCAAGTCCTACTTAGGACACTTATGAAGACAGCCTATCATCGAGAAGTGGTGAATCGAAAGGATGAAAATGGCAACACAGCACTGCACATAGCAGCTAGCAGCAATGAGGCCCAGGTTTGACTCCTTAGTGTTAATAATTAATACTACATTGATTGTTTTGTACTTTATAGAGACGATTAATTGATTAATGTAGCTTTTTTATATCTCAAACTATCAATTAAACAGATGCTTAAACTACTATTAAACTGCAAGGCTGATAAGCATGCCACTGATCAAGCTGGTTTGACGGCACTGGGTGTTTCCCAACAACATGGTTACACAGAAAGCATTACTGGTTTGCGTGGTTGCTTTATTCAAGTTGTTTCAAAGTTTATACCTAAGTTGGAGAAATAAACCGCCAGTTATGTCACCAAAGCATCGTCACTGATTTTCCGTGATATGGATAATATATCAGGCGAGAACCGTAATGCATTACTGGTAATTTTAGGATTAATGCTTCTAACTGCAACCTACCAAGCCACACTTAGCCCGCCTGGTGGTGTTTGGCAGGGTGGAAACGCCTCAAAGAAATTGGGGATATCTGTCATGGACCCTTCCCAGTTTCTTCTTTTCTATATTCCGACCTATGTCGTCTTCATCGTAACCTTTTTCCTAACACTATCCCTGCTTAAACCTTTTCCCTATGGTTTCAGGACAGCAGTTCAAGTGCTACTTGCTTTTCTTGCAGTATGCTTTCACCAATCAATATCTTTCATTGTCCCAACCTCTTCAGCATCAATAATTCTCTCTCCTCTCGGGGATCGTTTTCATCTTAATGGCGTTCATGTGTATCGCATATCAAGTGTCGAAATTCAGTGTTTCGATAGTGGGATGTTGGATTTTACCATTTCACTTCTCAGGTGCTGCAATTCAAGTGTTGTTTTTATTTGTTTTATGTATGATGACTTTGACCCCATAAACTATATCATGCACCCTATAGAATCAATAGGATCGTGGTTAGTCTTTCATCTATGTCGATTCTGCATAAAGCGGAGCACTAAATTGTGTAACTATTTTAAACTTTAAATTTGTAATTAATCCAAGTTTAAGGTGACACTTCTGGTTTATAACGTATCTGCTTGAAATATGTTGAATGTTTTTGTATCATCTTTGTCGTGGAATAAAAAGCAGATATTGTTCAAGAACATATTCCGAATCTCCTTGCAGCCACCATTGCTCCTATGAATAAAACCAAGCCAATTTCCTTCTTGGACGATCTATTCTATACCTAAAATAGAAGACAGGTGAAGAAAATAATTAGGTGCAACTATCACAGATTATTGAACAAATTGCCCATTTTATGTGGTTGGATTTATCACATCTCATGACATCAGTGATGGTGCACCTCTCTGCATCCACGTAAATTACATCAACTCCACATTTCTTCACCTCCATATTCTTCTTCATTGAATGTGCCATGTTTGATGCAGAATTGAAACGATGCCTCCTCATAATCTTGTCTTCTCTAACCATATCCTTACCACACAGAATGTACACATGATCACCCATGCAAATACCATTCGTCCAATGCTTTGCCTCGCAAAATAACTCACTTTTGTACTTTTCAAAACCACCGTCACCATCACTACCACTGGCGGCTACCAGTTGATATTCACAGATAAATTCAAGATCTTTAATGCGACCGCTGTCAGTGAGATCGGCCACAAGACATATAGCAAAAACCAAGAATCTGCTCCCACTACGCCCACTTGGGGCTATCTTCAAATTCAAGGAAGATTTCATGCTATGATTCTCAAACCTATTTGCTGAAATTTTGTTTCCCGGGAAACAACAAATCAGTTTTGGTAGGGGATCCGGAGAGAACTCCTTATAATATCTTGATGCCCATTTCTCACTTAGGGATTGAATATTGAGCATGGCATTTGCCTCAATGTTATCAATTGAATCTTGATTCAAGCTGAAGCAATTAGAGAATATCATAAACATGTAATGAATTAGGACACCATCATATTTAAATTTACAATTTAAAAAGATAACATCCAATATAATCCTTGTCGTAACCGGTTTTCGTCCGGTTATTTTTCTATTAGTAGTTTGATTAGTTTATAATTAATTGGTCGTTACATAATATGTGATAAGCATTGAATGATTTTCATTTAGAATTGAATTTTTAGTAAATTTTAGTCACTTCATTTCTTTATTTATTGTAAGAGATTGACATATTTATTATCAATGTGCTTAGAAAGGTGTATTTCAAGTATGGGGAGTGACTAGAAAAATACAAAAATGATGTGTGTTCATATTGGTGATTCTTGATTCTCATGGACCTAGGTATTGCATCATTTTTCAAAGATATATATCAATACGAAGAAGCTCATGAGTTCCTGCAATGCATGTTACATAGGATTGAAAGCTGTTGACTAAAGCCCATGAATGATTTGTCCTTTGTTGATGATTGTCTCATTAAGAAGGTTTATCGTGGTCGCCTGGTTAGCATAGTTTAAATGTTGCAACTTGATCATGGGTCGTTATTAGTGACATTTTATATTATTTGATGAAATTATTAATTGTCATTTAATATAATTTCTAAGGTGATGTATTTATTAATGTCACTGTGTATTTAATAATATGTGACGAAAATATATATCGGCATATTTGACATTTAGTGACACACCTAGCGTGGCGTTCATCGTGACGTTAAATTTACGTCACAAAATATAAACAGTGACGTAAATGTAAAGTTTCGATGACGATATTTCATATTCCGAATTTGTTGTAGTGAGGTAAATTACACTCTTACTCACTGAACTTTACTCTCTCTCCTATTTCAATCACCTTACTTTCAATTTTTTCAATTTGCTCACTGAACTTTAGACATTGAGCTTTTTTTTATCACTGACATGGACTATTTTATTATTTTCTCATATGGCTTGTCATGTTTTTATTAATATTTTAATATTATTTAGGATTATAATGAAAAATAAATTTAAAAATATAATTAAAATTCAATGAGTAAGCATGCAATTTACTCTATGGTTATATTTTATACCAATCCCATAGTTAAATGGTCATTCAAGTAGTTTACGCTTATATAGTTTGTTTGTTTGGCAATCGATCGTAAAAGAGCTGGACCAGCTTTATTTATTTAATTACACATTGCATCGCTGCATCAAATGAATGGGTTAAGAGCAATGTCAAGTTTACTTGGTAAACTACACTTCAATTCTTTTTATATAGTATTTGTGCATTAGATTCCATGAAATGGTTAAAAAAGAAAATAAAACAAAGATAACATCCAATGAATTAGGACATCATCACATTGACTACCATAATAAAATAACATTATCTTATTTGAAAAAAAACGACGAGAAATTTGACAATGGTATCCGCATATCTCGAATAATTAATAAGATAACATGTAATGAGATAGGACACCATCGTTTACTTGGTAAACCACGCTTCCTTTTTATACTATATGATGCAAATACACAAATTGAGCATTGGTTTAATCATATTAGCCAACTATCACGAGTTATTGAACAAATTTCCCATTTTATGCACAACTATCCCAAAGGGTACCGGTTCCTCAAAAATGGTATATCACTTTGTAAATGACAAGCAATTTATAATGCAGAGCACGTCAGACTCATCCTGCTTGGTTTAATCAAAGCACTTCATTTTATCTCTTTGTGCTGCATATGCGGCTCCCTAGTCCCTACAATCATCCAGCCAAAAACCTCATCCATAATTATCCAAAAAAAAAATTAGGCCTCATTGAGGAAATAATCCACAAGGTTCTGGACTCGTTCAAAGTTTGTTCCCGTATGTTAAAATTTTAAGTAATCTAAAACTTATCAGATAACCATATCAGAAGAATACAATTGCCTGCCACCAGCATATTTTTTTTATAGGAATGATGATTTATTAAAATCAAGAGACGAAGAACAACTTATGAGCCTCATTAAAAACCACCTTAATCTAATTGGAGGAAAAGAGTGCTACATAAGAACAATACAAAGAAAATACCAATATCGAAAGTCAGGCTTACATAGACAACAAAAGCGAATAGAGACAATTCCAATGGAAAACATTGCAACCGACCGAACAAAGCAAGAACTACAACCAACTAAAGATACATATCAAATCCATCCGAAGAGGCAACGTTGACTACATCAGCTCAAACAGAGACAGCACACTTTGATGATCGTGAGAAACAATTTCCATTGGCTGTCACCAGCATATTAATGAAAGTTGTTTCCTAGCCTTACGTTGTGGTGATATCCATTCGTATTAAGAGAAAACAAAGGACATCATCAAATCATATTAACATCCATAAAGAGCAATACATAGGATGTCAATACAAGAGAATTCTATAACCTTCAATATAACCTCCATCCAGACAGAGAGTTTAAACAGATATGAGAGAGGAAACCATACTTTCACTCGGATTTCCTTCATAGGGTGAGGTGTCCACGTTACTCTTATATTGGTCACAATATACCCCTGAAATAAGAAATAAATACTGGAGAATTTAACATCCACTAATCCCAAAAAAATTCAGCGAAATGAGAAGCTTAAATGCTTACCTGCAAACCATAACCACAAACCATAATTTGATCTCCTTCATGGTGAACACCGTTAACCAATACTGCAGCAATAGTTGTGAAATCAATCTCACCGTTAAATGCCCTAGACAATTTTTTAAAAAAACAAAACTTCTAAGTGTAATTATGTCACTCCGCCGTTAATGACTTAACAAGACGATAACGTGACTGCTGTGTGTCGTGACGTTGTTGATGTGATTGCCTCACTAAAACGACGTTTTTTGATGTGACTTTTTGATGCTTAAAAAGCCCAAAACAACGTCGTTTTGTTTATGAAAAACTATACTTTTAAAGAGATTCAAACTAAAAACCTTTATGAAATAATACTAAACACCCAACCACCAATCTAACTTAAGAATTTATTATAATCTTAACAAAATTAATATATATATATATATATATATATATATATATATATGTTAAATAGCACCGATTAAGTTATATAACAAGAATAACATCGCCGTCATCAAAGTTGAACCTTGTAGGACAGCGTTGATAATGGTTTTTTCAAGAGAGTAGCTAGTGTTGATAATTGTACTTAAAAGTAAATGTTAGTATAAAATTGACAACATTAAATACTTTATGTTATAATGAGTCAAGGCTTGAAGTTTACTAATATCTGTTGTAGTTTACCCTTAAAAAGTGATGAGAAGTTTATGAATGATATCTATGTGTCAATGAATAATTAACAAAATATATCTAATGAGTCAAGACTTTATCACGTTAGCCAACGTGACACGATAACATTACCTTGATTTTTTAAATCACAAAAATAACTTTGTGATGCACGCCTTTATATTTATTGAAACACAAAAATATGTTAGTAAAACTATAATAATTAATAAATAAACATGTTGTACCTAATTGTAGGAAAAAGAAATTAAATAGGTTACCTAACAATTAAACATGTGATTTAAAGATTAAATTGAGTAACTTACGAAATCAGAAGGGCCAGACGTGAATTTAACCAAAATAAAAATATACTACACAGATCATCAGGACCAACGACATGGATGCTAGTGCCAGCAACAACATGATCAATGCCCTGTATAATGATATGACAAGAGATTAACTAATACTAATTTATTTGTGCATTTATCAGATGTATTTCTGTTTCCAATCACCTGTGTCCCTGTGCCGGTTTGATCCCCTTCTTGTTGTTCTGAATTTGATATAACAAGAGATTAACTAATAATCTATTTGTGCAGTTATCAGATGTGATGGAGAAGCAAATGTATTTCTAAGTTCCAATCACTCGACACTGTGCCGCTTTGATCTCCTTGTGCTTGTTTCTGTAGCTGAATGGTGATGGGGTTCCATAGTGTTAGCATCTCCTTGAGAATCAAAATTGAGGTTGGATTTATCACATCTCACAACATCAGTAATGGTGCAACTCTCTGCATCCACGTAAATTACATGAACTCCACATTTCTTCACCTTGATATGTTTTTCTTCATTCTTAATGAGTGGGAGAGGTCGGATGTAGAATTGAAACGATGCCTCCTCATAATTCTGGTCTTCTTGAACCATATCCTTCCCACATAGAATGAAAACATGATCACCCTTGTACATGCCAAACCAACCATCTTTCTTGAAAAACAATTCACTTTTGAACTTTTTAAAA